TATCTTCATGTTTTAGGGCCGAATTCAGGCTTCAAAAATTTACAAATTAGCGATCTGTAAAAAAACGATTTTCAGATTGTACGCACTTGTGCGAGTGATTTGCGATCTCACATTTTCTAATCGCTAATTCGTGGTTTTCACACGGATGAATTTCTCACTACACTTTTATGACCGTTTCAATATTGTGGAACTTTAATTATAACCACTCTTTGTAAATTATTAAATTTTTAATTTGAAGCTATGCGTTATATGTATACCATGCGTAAAATTTTTCGCTTTTATGGAAAAAATAAAGAATCGAAGCAAATATACTTAGGATAATGGAACAAAACTGAAAAAATTTCCCCTCCCTCCGAAAATAAAATATTGAAATTCGACCTTGAATTTATTGGGTTATCGAAATATTTAATTTGACTTATCTTCTAAGTCCTAGTTCCGACAACAATTCCGTCAAAAATTCCGAATTACTTAAGCTGATGTAAAAGATTTAGTATATATTCACTGTATGTTAATAAAGTAATCAGAGTGTAATAAAAATAGATTATAGAATTTACGCTGATGCAACTTTTTGTCTGACTGCACAACATGTAATGGAAGAGAAGGCTTGTAGAGATCTGTTTTTGACATGCCTCTAAAAGTAGATGTCATACTCCTTTTGTCTCTTCAATGTCAAAAAACTTTCCTTTGAGAGGCAACTTTAGTTTTTGGAAAGAAAAAAAAATCACAAGAAGACAAATTTGAAGAACATGCAGGACGATTGAATACACATACTTATTTTCGGAACACAAGCGGTTCTCCTACTGGTTATTGTATAATGAAAACATGCATTGTCATGCAATACAAAACATTTGGAATACGTTTTCTGACTGAAAACGTAAGATTAAAAGTCATCTGCTTAATTCACAGCCATTTACAAGTCAACTGCTCGGGCAATTGCAGAATCGTTTTGATCCTGAGCTTGTAAGACAAACCTAATATCACTGGATTTAAACACTTCTTTAATCTTCCGAGAACGTTCCTTCTTTAGCTCATATTCCAAGAATATTAAGTGAATACAATTATTGCAAAAGAAATTGAATATTCATTTGCACTACGGCTTGGTAGTTTACTAACGAGTTAACAAAACTTAAATTCTGCTTTTTGTGTCTAAGAATACAACAATATTTTAAATATTTACAAATAAAATATTAAATTGGAGATTTAATTGGAGCCTCACCAGTTGCCTAGCATTTGAAGATTGTTAAATACTAATTGTTTGTTGCGAAGTCTAACCCAGGCTGCATGGTTGGTTTTCGTAGTTTTTCTAGGTTCTCTTTACAAAGGTTCTCTATGAAAGCATCTTAATCAAATAGCTCCCATGTTCTTTCTATGTTCAAATAACCAACTAACCTAGTTTAAGCGCGATTTCCAAGTGAAGTTACTAGCAAAACCCGAATACTCATTAAAAATCATGTAGCTTGCCAATCGGGAGTAACATGAAAGATACGGCGCCAATAATTGAATTGCTGTTACGGTACGCTGTTTCTTAAACTTTAGATGGTCATTCCTTAATTAAATAGCCCACCAACGGCCGAGCGGTAAAGACGCTGAACACTGGTAGTTCGGTCGGAGTTCGAATCCCGCGAACGGGCTGGCTGCATGGGCGTTTTCGTGGTTTTCCCCATGTGTAACGTGTATACGAGCCAGTTTTCCCTTAGAAAGTCCTCCACGAAGGCATCCCTCCCTTTAGGCAGATAGCCCTCGTGTGCTTTGCCATAATTAAATAATCCAATCCAATCCTTAATTAAATATAATTGATTTGTAACTCTTCTACTAGAGCTGACGGTAAAAATTGAAGTGCAAATAAATAATATCGTGTGCAATCTTGATTAATATAAAATTAAAAATATTTGCATAGAAAAATATTTGCATTCAGACAGAAAGTTTTTTGAAATATTTGCAATTACTTTATAAGAAGGATTTATTAATAACCGTAATAATTACTTATTATATTACTGATGATTAGGATTCAGTTCTTGACAATTACATTCTAAATTAGAATTTTAAGGATATAATGAAAATACGCTGTGCACAAAAATACATTTTAGGATAAAAAATGAGTTGATTTTTTATGTTTTAATCATGAAACATAAAAAATTTAATAAACATCGTATCCTCGTTGTTAATTGAACCCAGAATGTTGGGTGTCGTTTATATAATTATTCTTACTTGTCCACAGAATCTGCTGACTTATCCAGCCATTAAGTAGCTGCAGATCATTTCTATTTCTAAATCTTAGTTTCTATAAAAAATATACTGTGTGCTTTAAAAATATGGATGATAGTATCAGCCGCTCTTTCAGCCACTTCAAAAGCAACAGTTTGTTTAGAAATAAATTATGCAGTTAATGTCATAAAATTTTCATAAAATTCAAATAAACATCAAACGAAAATTCTCAGTTTTAGACAATTCGATTTAAACGAAGTAAAGTAGCAGACGATAAAACGCCGAAGGTAAAAAATTTACTCTTACAAAAATTACTCTTAAATTTTTTAAAAAAAAAGGAAGAAAGAGAGAAAGAGAAATTAAAAAAAAAATAGTTAAAAATTTGAATAATATCATCTATAATTTAAAAAAAATAGCTTTTCATATAGTATTAATAAATATTTATTACGCATCATTGAGGGAAAAAATGTCATATAATTAATTCTCCGTAAAATTTTACTTGAAATTTAAGGTTAAAAATAGCTGTGGCAATTCACTGTAACAAAAATCCATAGACCACATTTGGCGTTATTATCGCTCAAAAAAAAGATGCCAAATTTCAAAACGCGAAAATATGTAAATTCGTGTATATCTTAGAAAATTTTGAATAAAAAAGTCTAATTTTTTGCAGATATGCTTAAAAATACACCTACTTTAAGATGATGGTAAAAATTTTATAGGTTATAATTCAAAATTTTTTTCGAAAAATTTATAAAAATTATTTAAAAATAAAAATTTAAAAAATAAAAACACAAAAAATGGGTAAATTTTATTTGGAATGAACCTAAATTTCGAAATGTGAGAGAAAAAATCAAAAAAAGTTTAATAAAAAAGAGATATTAATAAATATTTGCCAAATTCAATTAACATTGAGGAGCTAAAATTTTGAGAGCTAATATTTTAAAAACTACTCGTACGATTTTTACAAAACTTGGTATTCTGGCATAATTTGAGTCGTAGAATCGAAATATGGAAAAAAATTGGTATGTTATTTCAGAAAAAGTCCGATTTTGTGTCAAAATACCTATGTTAGAATAGTGCTATATATAAATCTAATATATATCCTAAGTCGCGCTTTCGAGACATGAAAAACGCAGTTTGAATTTTGTCAATCGGCCCAGTAGAACGGGAGATATAGCACTGTCCCATTTTTTTTTTTTTTTTGAGCAGTGTACATTGGGAACTCAGGAAAGGGGCATATGTGCTTTATTTGCTCAGATATTGTTACTAGGATCTATCCATTTACAAAGTTTTTAAAAATACGGTACAGAATTTATATGAAAAACAGTTTCACACAGTTATCTTGAGGAATTTATAAAATTATAACCCTAATTATAGGAGTAATAAAAGAGAATTCCTATCATTAGAATATCGTTGTTCGTAAATTAAACACTTATCTTTTTGCGTTTATACATGAGAATTTGACAGAGATAAGCTTAATTAATATTTTATAGGACCAACTGCAAAACTGAATGAAGCGTGCGATTTTACGCACATAAAAAATAACTCGTTTTTATTTCGTAACTGCGCCTTAAATTTGGTTTAGAACTCTTAAATTTCTGTAGGCAATAAGTGTGAAAAATACTTAAATCTACAAAGCTGTTAGGTTTCTGGGGTCAAGAAAGAACAGAAATCAACTTTCCCAAAACGGGATTCAGTTCACCTGGTAATGCTAGTCAGAGGAGCTATGTGTTAAACCATGACGAGCTCCGGGAGGGGGGGGATCAAACATTCCCGTTTAAGAGGCTATTTGGGAGAAAGAAACGAGACCTAATAAATTTTGATGAATTATCATATACCACATTTTAGTCGAGCTCCACTGTCAAGCCTTTTACAGTTTATGAAGTAAGAAATGTTAAAAAATTAGCTATGCCCTCAAAAGGAATAGAATCACGGATCTGCTACTTACTAGCTGAATATGCTCCAGGTGCACGAGGAAGTCAATAATTCCCTATAAATCAATAGATTCATTATCAAACATCTGAGCAAATTTTTCAAGTTCAAGGCATGAGATGCTTTGCTTTTAGCTCATCAAAGCATAATAAGCATTTTATTGCCTGGAGTTTCAGTTCTACAGGACAATTTACTAATCGCAAATACTTTTTTATGCAAACCATATTATACGTCAATATATGTTTTCTAAATTCACTTTTAACACAAAGGATATGAAGGTTTCTTAAGGTTCTTTTACAATACCCTCACACTAGTTGCACTCAGACACATAAATGGCATAATGTTAGAGATGGCTGAACAGTGGTGATCAAACCTTGTTCGAATTTTAGCAAACGGAGGGGGAGTATGGGAGGTTTTGCAGATTTTTTGTCATGTGTAAAGTATAAGCGCCAATTTTTTGCAGGGAAAATTCTACTCAAAAGCATTATTCCCATTATATAAATAGTCTTCCTTTGCTTTGCCATACTCAGGTGAATTCACTAAGTGAAAACTATTTTTAAAAATTCACTATCTAAGCATAAGAACCACTTAGTTGAAAGTATATTTCTAGATGCTCTATATAAAAAATAAATACTGCAGCGAGATCTTTCAAGTAAACAGAATGTAAACCACGAAAACACACGAAGTTTATTGTCATTCATTGTTAACGCTTAGGTAAAAGACGTAAAGAAATATCGGCACTTTAACAAATTAAATTTCATAGCCTATGACTTATCTCAAGAGCAGGGCCAATTTTATGAATTTTTTTATTGATTGCTTTTGTTGTTTATTTTTTAAGCAGAAGAAATTTTTTGTACTTTTAGGTCTTCAGCTGTATCTGCAGTCTCCCAAATCCAGTATGTTCCCTTTGTTTGCTAAGCAGCTGAGTGTGCGAGTTGTCGTCCATGATCCTCGAAGCTTACCTTTCGCTAGAGAGAGAAGGTTTTGATATCAATCCGGGAGATATGAGTTCCGTTGGTGTAGAGTATTTGGAAGTAAATCGTCTTGGTCCTCCTTGGGGAGAATGTGCAAAAGATGGAGACCTTAAGACATCAAACTACACAGCAAAACCCTACAGCCAGATAGTGAGCAAAACATTGAATTCTCCCTTTGCTTGTAATCTACAGCTTACTTAATGGATAGCAGCTATCAGAACACAAATAATATTTCATTTTTCTTGTTCCAGGCTTGTGAACGGAATTGCATGAATGAAGTCATCTTCAGTCGTTGCAAATGCTACCATCTCAAGTTTAAGTCAGGAAGAGTTATACCCGACAGGAAAAATATCTGTACTGCTAGAGATGGTATTTATTTTTTCTTCTTTTTTGAAGACAGTCATGATAGAAATTAACCTTAGTCAGTGACCATCGTGATTCATTCAATAGTTACTTCTACAGACTCGCATATTTCATTCATTACATGCAACGTTTACCAACGTAAAAAAGTTCCCCCTCAGCCTGAACTGAACGAAACATTGAACAAGTAGGATACCTACTTAATATAAAAGTTTTTCCTTGATTAGAGGCAAAACAGTCTGTTATATGCTACTATTTTCTAAATACACTCATGTCCATAAATTAAGGATAATGCAAAATCAGGCAATTAGAAGAACAAAACCTTATTAAAAAACAAAATTAAAGACTTATTTGTGTTAAAAAAAATTATTTTTCTTACCAAAGGTAAGAGCAAAAAAAAAAAAAAGATGCTATATGTTTGATATTATTAAAAAAATTAGCGATTTTTTCTCCCTAGTGCAAATTACAAAAAAAAACCTATTTACAAAAAACAAATATTACATGGTCGGTATGATTGTTAATACATTGTATGTCTCCCAGACGATGCAATACAGTCCGTACGTACAACGCCTAGGCATGCTGAGTATCAAATTATCGATCTGATCTTGGGGAATATAACACCACTCAAAAAGCAATGCTCTCCGAAGTTCGGTAGAGACATGTAGGAGGAGGTTGACGGGCTGCAACTCGTCGGCCAAGCATGTCCCACACGTGCTCTACTGGATTCAAGTCCGGTGAGAATCCTGGCCAGTCCATACGGGTGATATCTTCCGATTGAAATCATTCGCTTACGATGTTTGCACGGTGAGGACGGGCGTTGTCATCCATAAATACAAATTGTGCCCCCATGGCGCCCGAAACAAACCTACATGTTGTTCCAGAATGACGTCCCGATAGATTTGGCTTGTCATGGTTCCAATTTGAGCATAGTCAGTTCTGGAACCCAGAATAATTCCATCCCAAACGAGCACTCCTGCACCACCGTAACGGTGTCGTTCAATGATGTTTTCTTGGTGGTAACGGGTACCTGGAGCTCTCCATATGAAAGTCCGGCGAGATTCAGACTGAAAGCTAAACCTGGACTCGTCCGAAAACATCACACAAGCCCACTGTTGCGGTGTCCACAATGCATGCTCTCTACTCCAGGCTAACCGCAGGCGACAGTGAGTTGCAGAAAGTGGAACGCATCTGACAGCTCTACGAGCATATAGACCAATCTGCTCTAAGCGTCTGTACACGGTCTGCCTTGAAACTGTCGTACCAGTGGCTGAAAAGAGCTGACGAGACAGGTCTGAGGCTGTGCTCCACCTGTTTCTTTTGGCAGTAACTGCCAAATACCGGTCCTCATTCGGCGTTGTAACTCTGGGGCGACCTGTGCTGTAACGTCTACTCACATTACCATCATCTTGGAATCGTTGCCAAAGCCTGGAGATGACACTCTGGGCAATTCCAAGTTCGTCTGATACTTCCAGTTGGGTACGCCCACATTCTAGACGGTCGATAATTCGACCACGTAAAAAAATCATCCAAATGCGTCCTTTGTGTCATAACTATTCGGTTATTGCACTGAAATGCTTATAAAGCGCCTGCGAACAATTTTACTTCTTTGCCTGTATTCCTTATATATCACTCTCTAACACTCTCGTCATTGTGACGTAACATCGGTGTCATCTGGTTACTTCCTGAATTTTGCATATGATTCTTGAAGATGTGTGTAGTGATTTTACATGGTGATATATTTATTTTAAAGTTCGATTTCCGCGTGACTCCGAATTATCCTTAATTTATGGACATGAGTGTATATTTTGAATACATATATTCTATATGGCTTTTTCCATAATCTCTGCTTTTCTAACTCTATTTTATATCTTCTAAGCGTTCCAGGAATTTTTGCAAAGTCCCGACATGATCCAGAAGCTTTTTCACTCCTGGAACACGTTCGTTATTGTCGTTCTCGTCACATTTATCATTGTTTCTTTCCATGATGTAGCTGCGTTTCACAATCTGAACAGAGGTTTCATCTAAAACAGTTTCATTACTTATTACCCAATGATTAACTTTGTTTAAATCTTCAGTATTCGTTTAATAACGTTTCCAAACATTTATAAAGGATTTTATGTTACAGTTTTTAATATCTTTATTATAAACTAGAGATTAACACACAGATAAGAAAAATTATTTTCGTGATCTATTTGTGGAATTTTATTAGAAAATTTGCTTTCATAATTTATTTGTGGAATTTTATTAGAAAATTTACTTTCATTATTTATTTGTGGAATTTTATCAGAAAATTTGCTTTCGTATCTTATTTATTGAAATTTTGTATGTAAATAATTTTATTACTTAATTATTTCTGAAAAAAATCAGTTAAATGAAATACATTGCTTTTTTTGAAGTTAAAAAGGCTCAAGGATTGTATAATAACGAAGTCAGCTTCCGATTAAGCGGGCTGCAGATTAAAGGGTTTTCTATCTAAAATAGTTAAATTTCTTTATTGTAAAACATGAATCTATCAGAAATTGTCAGAATAAAAAACAACTGCAAAATGAAAGTGATGAAGTCTTTGGAAAAAGAGCAGTGATAGTATTTCGGAGTTGTTTTTATCTGCAACAGTATATGATTTAATTTTATATAATCATGGATTTTAAAAAAAATTAAATTATCCGTAAAAGTAAATTGCTCAATTTATAAATAAACTCGAATGTACAAACAATCTTTTGTTTCACATTGGTTCCTACTGAAGTGCATATCTTTATTATATGCGGCTTAAGTGTCTGTTTGTCACCGATAGTTTATTGGTTGCTTGCGTAACTGTACTAGCCAATGTGGTGAAGTTGCCACGGCATTCAAATAGTCCATATACACTGATACCATACATGCAGTTATCACTGTTTTAATTAAATTATCATGATATTTAATAACATTTAAATATTTTTAATTCATACAATTGTTGCTTCTATGCATTTAACTATATTTACATATGAATTACCTAGAAACTTATAAATGTTGAGAAATTAAAGGAGACGAAACCAACTAACGAGCTATGCGTAGTACATCTCATCAGGTAGGTTTACCCAAACTCCTATGCTAAATATCCTTTCGTGTAAAGAGTTTAAAATTTTGCCCGATTTTATTCCGACATTGTATTTTAAACTGAATTTTCAGCTGAACGCAAATCGAGCGTGTCAGAGGGAACGTGAACATTTGTTTGCATTAGCAATCATCTGTTTATAAGCAATTTATAATATCTAGAACTGCAGTCATTTCGTAATACCGCCAAGCTTTCTAGTGTAATATATACAGAAACAAACAGCATTTGACCGTGAAATAAAGAAGAAATGTAAACAAATACAGGAAATGCAGAAAGAAAAGTGTAGACACGCATTGTCGAGATAGAGAGAGAGAGAGATAACTAATATTTGTTTAATTTACCTGCACTTTCTATTTATCTCTGTCTCCCCACAAAAATCACTAACTCATTTGCCGACTTTGTTAATTGCCAAAATATATTTGTTTGGGTTACCGCCCATAAGTACTGCTCTGTTCATTAAAAAAATCATTTTATAAGAAAAGACAAATTTTATGAAAAAAATATATAAGATTTACATTTTTATAGCTTGTAGATACTGTCAGAACAAGTCACAAGTTTCTGCAATATTAATATTTAATAATATATTTAGGAATACAAACTAAAGTATAAATAGTATAAATCAATTTCGCTATTATTAAGGAATTACATGCATTAACAATAAACACGCCGATTGAGATACTTACGTATTAACGCAAAACCTTGGCGGAATTTGGCGATTTTTCACAGATAAAAGAAAATGATAGCATAAATCCTCATTAAAATCGGTAATAAACTTACTTATCGGTCGCAAGTTGGCGGTTTTAGCGATTTTGTTTTACAGAAATATCGCAAACTATTGATATTTATTGTACATCGGATAACCTTATCAATACATCAAAAGAAAACACAATTCAAAATTTAAAAAAAAATTAGTTTTAAATAAAAATCAGCTGTGTACATGGGTTTTCCGCAAGTATACAGAGATTTGTTTTCCCTAAAATTTAGAGAATTGCACAAACTTGGCATCGCGCACAACCGCGGCAATGAACACTGAAATGATTACGATCTCTCAAGGGCAGCTGAAACTTCAATGTACACTCCAACATGAGAATAAAAAAGGAATTCGATTTTCACCGTTGAAAATAAGCAGTCTTAAAAATACCAAATTGCAATCAAAAAACATAGAATACGTGACCGAGAAAAAAATATTCCATAATTCCATTGGTTCGAGTTAAGAGAAAGCATAAAGTTTCCAGAATAATATCATTATCAAGCAGATAAAGTATGGTTACTAGAACAAAATTATTAACTAACGACAAAATCACCAGTCTTAGTATACATCCGGTACTTTACTTCAGCTTTCAACTCAGAGCAAAAATTGGTACTTTTCCGTTTCGCCGGCGCAAAACTCGCCAAACAGACTTTATTGGCGACAACATACGGTATACATAAAAAACGCTAACAAATGTTAGTTCTAAGAATTTTGTATTTTGAAGGCACAAACATTTTAATATCTTTTAAAATTGTCTAAAAAGCTAATAACTTTGTAAAAAGGCATTAATTTAAGAATTTTCTATGCTTTCATGGTTCAACATCCTGAGTCGCCGGTTCGTATCACGTGACCCTAAGTGATCTCATCCCGCGTAAACTACGCTACAAAAATCTAACTCTCTCAGTAATTATTTACATTAATTTCAAGTTAAATCTTAGTTTGGAATACAAGCTTAAATGCAAGAATTATTTCAATTCGTACGAATAGCTTACTCAGAAATTATATAAAACCGTAGTGCTTTACTTCTTTAGTGCATTCTCATTAGAATTGATGAATTTAACCCTTGACGTTGCCTTTTCTATATTTTCGCCTTCAGGAGAGCAGTGTGATTGCATTTTAATTGACTTAATTACCGTGAATGGCCTTAGGGCATAAAATTGAACTATCTGGTAAAACTTCTATGTAATTGTATACCAGTATTGAAAGATACAACCAATCTGATAAGAAATGGAGGCGACTTGTTTTGAGAATGAGGCGTAAAAGGTTACCAGCGAGGATATTCGTTTGGCACCAGTTGTACCATTATTGGCGAGTGTATCGCCTGCGTCGGCAAAACGGAAAAGTACCCCAAAATTTACTTATTACGTATATATTTTATGCTCTAACGAGGTATTTATCTAAAAAATCAGAAAATAAACCTACTTACAAGATGGTTTGGATTTTTTTTTCTAAGGTCTTATGCAAATTCTATTGCTATTGTTTTGGGAATTCAAAGCAGTTCTTCGTTTCAGCGACTTTGTCGCAAAAAGCTGTATTCTTGCATAAAATTTTAACTCAGTTTCTTCCATTGCAAATAAATTCCAGAAACGCATGTTTTGAAACTCAGTTTAAGGCAAAAAACCATAATTTGCCCAAAATAAATGGCTGGAACATAGAATACAACAAAAATAATGCATACAAAAATAGTGACATAACTTCATTGAAGATATGTTAAGATCATGGCTGACTGAAGAATTGATTGTTACGCTCATAGCGACCAGATTGTGTATTCTAAATATTTGGCGACCTTGTGCTAATACATAAGTTTATTACTGAATTAGTGTAGATCACCAAATGTTCCTGATTTTCTTGCTTAGAAATGTTTAAATATCAAACAAGTATAAGTTTTTGTATTCACCTAAGGGAATTTTATAAAAAGAATAATTTGAAGCTGAAATTCGAACGAAAGGGTGAATAACAAAAAATTTCTGTTCTAATAAATTTCTAAATAAATTTATTATCCGTATTAAATTGCTTGAGAGTACAGAAAATGCGTTAGTAGTACTTTCCTGTAATTATGGTAAGGATCATTTTTCTTTTTTGCATTCTTTTAGCTTGCTCTGGATTATCCGTGATTTTGAGTTAATCATGGCTATCGTGCCCGGTTAATCGGAAGCTGATTATGAATTTATATAAAATAAAATTCATGTGACGTTCTTTTTTTATTCTTTATATAAGTATGAAGGAAAGTATGCAGAGAAATTACATTAATTCCTGCTATGCTTTTTGGTGCTATTGAATCTTCAATCTTTTTCAGAAAGTTGTTTTGAATCCGTTTTAAGGGAAAGAAATGCAGAGAAGATCCAATGTCGATGCCCACCGGCATGCAAGTAAAATATATATTCGTTACTTTTCTCCTTTTCTCTTATAATGCAAAGTGATTAAGATATTTATTCAAGCCAGGTTTGACATTTTTAATCACTACTTAGTGATAGTATTTTATAAATTCCATACTTCTTCGATTTTATAAAATCAAATTTAATTTTTGCTGTAAAAATAATGAGACTATTTATTTACTTCATTGCAGAAATTAAGTAGAAAATGCTAAAACAACAATCGTGGAATTTTTGCCGTGAGAATAATGAGACTGTTTATTAATTTCATTGCAGAAAATAAGAAGAAAATGCTCAAAATAACAATCGTGGAATTTTTAGAGAACTTTCAAATGCAGTAATGAACGATCACAGTCAAAACTCCTGAAATAATCAAGCCCACCAGCGGCCGAGCGGTAAAGTAGCTGAACACTGGTAGTTCCGATCTGTGTTCGATCCTAGACAAACAGGCCGGCTGAATAGGTGTTTCGTGATTTTGTGTAATGTGTATTTGAGCCAGTTTCTCTTAGAAAGTCTTCCACGAAGGCATCACTTCCCTTAAGCAGATAACCTTAGCGTGCTTTGCAGTGATCTCAATAAACCAAACCAAACCTAAAATAAATATATGCTCTCTACTTCCATATATAAATACAGATATTTTAGGAAACGATTTTTGTTATTAAAATTTATTGCATGGATACTGAAGCTTAAATATGGATTCAAAATGATTTACACATAATTTAATAACAAAAATGATACCGTAAGTTTATAAAGTCTAGTTCTGTTATGTAGCATACACTATAGATTTTAAAAGGACTATTGAGGAACTATATCTTCTAGCCTTGTAAAACAAAAACAAAAGTCAGAAGAAGGGTGCATAAGACCTTTTATTCCAGCACAAAATTAACAGTTACCATCTTGGGTTTACACATGCCAGGCGTTTCTGGCTTAACAGAGATCGGTAACGTTAAACACTTTTAAATGTGATAGATTAGCCTAACGACTCACAGAATAAATTAACGCGGAATTAGGATCGCTAACAAGAACAGAAAGATTTTTTTGAATGTGAAATGCCTCTAGAAAATCCAGTTCTCCAATGGAAGATGTTTTTTGAATAATTTTGGCAGCAGAAAAATTGAAAGTATGATTTTCGGACCAACAATTGAGCAACAGAAGACTTCTGTTGTTTCCTTTTTTCTAACATATGCCTCATGTTCCTTGACGCGAAATTTTAAAGGCTCTCTTAGTTTGGCCAAATGTAAATTAAAACACTGGCAAGGAATCCTATAAATACCCCAGGAATTCATATCCGGAATGGGGGTCCTTGAGTATGGAACTCGGAATTTTATTGATGGGAGAATAAACAACCCGAAAGTTAAATTTCTGCAAAATATGTGCAACTTTATAGCTAATTGATGGAAAGAAGGGAATGACAACAGAATTTTTATAATCTCCTAAAACAAGAGTGTGCTTTTTAGTGTGTTGAGATGAGAATTTTTTAACTGCTTGATTAATAATGTTGGGTGAAAAGCCCCTGTCAATAGCTATTGCTTTTAAATAATTTAGTTCTTCATCAAGGGCTAGTTTGGAGGAGCAAACTTGAAGAGCACGGAAAACATAGGAATAAAATGAAGCTAACTTTTGTTTAGTCGGATGACATGATTTAAAGTGTGGTGGAAGGCAAACCGATGAAGGTTTACGGTAAACCGTAGTACTAAAGTTGGATGTGTTACGTGTGACCAGAATGTCGAGAAACGGAAGAGAATTGCAAGTCTCAATTTCAAAAGTGAACTGAATAGCAGGATCAGTAGAATTCATCGTTGAAAGAACTTTATATAAATCATCTTTATTATCTTCAAACAGGGTAAAAGTATCGTCTACGTAGCGGAACCATGCCGGGAAGTTTAAAGTTTCAAACAATTTTGATTCATAATAATGCATTAGATATCAGCCAGGATGGGACTGAGGGGGCTTCCCACATGGCTAATCCCTCAGTTTGCTTGTAATATTTATTTTGGAAAACAAAATGTGTTTGTTTTAAAACAGAGTTGAGTGAGAGAAATTAGCTCATCAATTTCGATGCAAGAGAAAGAAATGAAATTCGCGAATGAAGTCTGGTTTCTAGACATCTTAATGCACCCCTCCACTGGAACATTGGTTGTGAATAATGATTTTACATCAAAGAAAACCATGAGTAAATTTCTAGGAGAAATGTTTTTTAACCTTTTTTACAAACTCTATTGAATTTTTTATGGTGTAAATGTTATTGTCTAATAGAGTTGAAAATCTAGAAACTAAATATTTAGCTAAGGGATACGAGGCAGTACCTAAATTTGATACAATAGGGCGGAAAGGAATACCACTTTTATGAATTTTGGGAAGAGCATATAATCTGGCACAATTCGCAACAGATGGGATAAGCGAATGTTTTAAGTTGCTTGAAATGATTTGTGAAGATTTGATCGCAGTTTTTATTTTTGACAAGTCCGAAAGTGAAGGATCTTTAGGGATCGGATTATATGGTCCTTCGTTTAAGAGTTTAGTGACACCATCGATGTAAGTGTTCTCATCCATGACGACTATCTGGCCACCTTTGTCGGCCTTTGAAATGATAATGTCCGGGTTAGAATGAATTTCGCGCATTGTAGCTCTTTCTCTCGCAGTTAGATTTGGTTTCAAAGGTTTATTATTGAATTTCACATTATGAGCGATAAGATTCCTAATCATTTCTTTCTGTGAATCTGAAACTTACTGAACTTGAAAGCTTTTCGATAGGAGCCAAAATTCTTTGGAATCGAGGTTTTTTACAAGTTTGTGAGAAGTTAAAATTAATTTTTAGAATTCTCTCTTTTCTTCTGAAAGACTAACATTAGAATAGAAAGATTAACTATTGGCTTGATGTTTACAATGGGAAGATTTTTTGAACTACTTGAACTGGAAGACTGTAAAAGAAGTTTTTCGAATTTAACTGGCAAGGGTGTTTTTATGACGGTTAACTGCATTCTCCGTTCTAGACCAAGACTTTTGTTCAAGGGCAGTGAATTTTGGATATGAATTAGCGAGTTCCAGATGAGGCTTATAGAGTTCATGTTCAATTTTGGACAATTGTTGCGTGTATCCCTTATGAGGACCGAAGTAAGGCAAGCTTGCAATTTAACAGAATTCTTGAAACGCGACTGGAAGCTTTTTGATTAGATTTGATTTTAATAAAATTGGGGATCAATTTTTTACATTTACATTTAAGTAAAAAGTCAAGATGATTCAAGAATTTTTTCCGTTTCAGGCGTAATTTAGTGAAACGATTAACGGATGAAGGCATGATAAATAATGCAGAAAATCAAACTAAATTAACTAAGCAGTAATAAAGCACACACAAAACAGCAAAAAAATCCCTCACTGTAACGAATAAAAAACCAAACGTTTGTAACTAAAATACATGAAATCAGACAAGCAAAGCACAATATCAAAGTATACGAAACATAAACAGAACTTTAAAATTTCAAAAAAGTACTTACCGAAACCCATGCAATCACAAAATGGCGGCCACACCACGTGCAAAAAAGAAAGCAAAAAATAAGCCTGTTTCGGGCTTCTATAATTAAGACACAATAACACGCCGAATAAGTACTAATGCAGGAGTCAAACAACTAAATTCAGCGTTAATTTTCAAAATTTTCACAGGACTAGTTTCGATGGTTTTACCGAACCACCATCCATCAGTGCAAACCGCAAATGAACAGATAGGAATAATGATTAGATAAGATAGAAAGCCCTGGACAAGAATAAGCAAGTGCGCCATCTGTTGGTGAAACTAGAACTAAAACATAATTTCTTTAAAGGCCAAAGTCAAAGATGGATTGGAATAGATCGTTAACAAGAAACAGAAAGATTTTTGAATGTGAAATGAAATGCTCTAGAAAATCCAGTTCTCCAATGGAAGATATTTTTGAATAATTTTGGCAGCAGAAAGATTGAAAGTTGAATTTCGGACCAAAAATGTTGAGCAACAGAAGACTTGTGTTTCCTCATTTTCTAACAATGCCTATTCTCTTGCTCGAAAAGATGAGCTAATTCTCTCATCAACTCTGTTGAAAAAACACATTTTGTTTCCAAAATAAATATTTACACAAACTGGGGATTTATCCATGGAAAGCCCCCTGAGTCCCATCCTGGCTGATATACATGCAATTAATGAATCAAAATTGTTTGAAACTTTAAACTTCCCGGCATGGTTCCGCTACGTAGACGATACTTTTACCCGTTTGAAGATAATAAGATGATAAATAATAAGTTCTTTCAACGATGAATTCTACTGATCCCTCTATTCAGTTCACTTTTGAAATTGAGATTGCTAATTCTTTCCGTTCTCGACATTCTGGTCCACGTAACAATCCAACTTCAGACTACGGTTTACCGTAAACCTTCATGATTTGCCTTCCACCACACTTAATCATGTCATCCGACTAAACAAAAGTTAGCTTCTTTTATTCGTATGTTTTCCGTGCTTCTTCCGTTCCTCCAATCTAGCCCTTGATGAAGAATAAATTATTTAAAAGCAATAGTATTGATAGGGGCTTTTACCCAACATTAAATCAGCAGTTTAAAGAATTCTCAGCTCAGCACACTAAAAGGCACACTCTTGTTTAGGAGATTATAAAAATTCGTGTCATTCCCTTCTTTCCATCAATTAGCTATAAGTGCAACATATTTTGCAGAAATTTAACTTTCGGGTTTTTATTCCCCCATCAATAAAATCCGAGTTCCATATCAAGGACCCCTTCCGGATATGAATTATTGGGGTCGTTGCGATGTAATGTGACTGAACTGATACCCGTCCTCGGTTTTAAACACAAACTTATATTAAATAATTGCACGATACAAAGTATAAACAAGAAAATGACATATAAAACTTATAAATACGAGAACAGAACAAAAATAGTGAAAAATAGACAGCATTCCAGCTGCCTTGCGAATGCGTGTTGAGCGACTATTCAACTGAAATTCAATGTCCTTTGGCATAGTTC